ATAAACACTGCCATTGTTCTGATTAACTGTCCTCTGTTCTGTTTAGACTTAATGGATTTAAGCGCAGCACTTGATTGGCGGCAAGGTCTCATCATTTTACAGTTGAAATGGCCAGAGGTATCCATAACAATTTTTTTCTCCTTTGGGGAACGGAACTCTCTTCCGGCTTCTTGCTTTCCAGTCAACTTTGATCTGGAAAAATTTAAGTGCAATGTCAAACGTTATCGTTTGCTTTCTTAATTTATTCTCCATATCTTTTTTCTTCTCTCTATTATAATATATTTTTTTTTATATTCTCTCACTATATAACAAATATATGCATCATAGTGGCTTTATTTATATTTGGTATAATTTGTGTTGAAATGATTAAATATGTATCTATATATAGATGTATATATGTGAATATAGATATTTATATATATATATATCATATATATATAAATGTTTGAATACGTAGATACAGCGTGTAAGATCAAAATTGTCTAAAAACAGCATAAATGGCTATACCACAAAATGTTTAATATCTAAAAAAAAAAACTTCTTTCTTCCAGGTTTTCTGATATGATGTTAAGCCATCTTGATACCATTTGTCGTAAGAATCATTGAAAAACCCTTTGAGTTATCCGGCTAGAAAGAGAACAGGTTAAAATCGTTTTGTGTCGGCCCCACTGTCTTCTCAACTGAGCAATGGTGAGAGGAAAAAGATCATTCAGGCCTTTAATAATGATACTAACATTCATATTCTGGCATCCATCTTCAAGTTCATTCAAGAACCAACAAGAGAACGATGAATATTTTTTTAAAAAGAGGGAATAATAGAGAGAAAAACTGGATGAGGAGGTCACAACAGAAAGAGGGATCATCATTTTAACTTGGATCGAAAGAGATCAATTAGAAAAGATCCAACTCAATCCATAAACGCTTGGCACGTGAAAGAGGAGTTTCAGCTACGACAAGTTCAAAGAGCAGTGAAAATAGACTTGAAAATGAAATCGTACGTGAAACGTGTGAGGCCACTTGTTATTCCAGGATAGAAAGTTAGTGGGGGGCGAAGATCATCTTGGATAAGTTAGATGATTATCTTGTATATATATATATATATATATATATATATACATATATATATATATATATATCTTCCTATCCTCAACTATGATTAATTAATGATGAACATGTGATTTTCGTTTATAATCGATTTCATCATGATTCTTCCATTAAGCGTGAAGATTAATTATACATTTTTATTGCTCAAAGTAGAGTCCAATAGTATTATAAAAACCATGGAGAATTCCAGTAAAGTATCTTTAATCATTTCTAAATTACAACGGTTCCAAACTTAATCTAAAAATTGGACAATTTTGCAGTTACACCCGGTATATACATATACAGGTGCCACTAGATAAGTTAATTTTTTTGATGGATAAGGGGTGGATTTTCCTACACCTCAGACTTACTTAGGCTATCTCTTTTATTAACTTCACATATTTTTAACACTTTAAATACTTTTTTAATACCCTTTTTATTATGATATCTCATGTTTATTGCATATTAAAAAAACTACTACTGCCACTAATTATTGAGAGACTCGTATTAGACATCTATTTGGTTTGGTTTGTTTTGTTTTACGACATATCAACTGCAATGGGCTATTTAATGTCGACAAAATTTTTATTTCTGGTAATTTTTTTTCCCCAAAAATGTATTGCTGGTAATATTTTTTTCTTAAAATATCTAGTGCTGGCAATAATTTTTTTCCCAAAAATGCATTGCTGGTAATAATGTATTACTGGTAATATATTTTTTCTTCAAAAATTTATTGCTGGTGATAATATTTTACAGAAAATTAGTTCTAGTATTAAAACCTATTTTTACACTTTCATAGTGTTTTGACACCAGGTTGGGGGTTAACTATTTGCCCATATGTATATATGTATATATATATATATGTATATATATATATATATATATATATGTATATATATGTATATATATATTTATATGTATATATATATATATATATATATATATATAAAGATATATATATATATATATGTATATATATATGTATATATATATAATGTATATATATATATATATATATATATATATATATATATATATATGTCTGTATATTTATATGTATATATATATATATATATATATATATATATATATTTATATATATGTATATATATATATATATATATATATATATATATATATATATATATATATATATATATGTATGATATATATATATGTATATATATATATATATTATGTATATATATGTTTATATATATATATATATTTATATATATATATATATATATATATTTAAATTACGAAATATTTCTGTTTAAATGTCAAAAATCAATTTAAAAAAATATATATATAATACATAAATTAGTTTTTGTATTAATGGACTCTCCCATTGTTTCGAAAAATAATATTTCTGTCCCTCGCGTGATACAACCTCATAGAACCGCATCATGAATTT